ATTACCGGCGTGCGGTCGTGCATCAATACTGCGTGATGTTCGTTAAAGACCCTAGGCTATCTGTCGTACAGCACTGGCTAAATGTCTCGTCTACAGTGGGTAACAATGTCGCCCTACTCTGACATACTAAACTCCTGATTTATAACCAACTAACGACACTTTTGTTTTTGCGGGTATTTTGCGAGTGCGGTGCGGGATACTGTCACGGTGTCACTGTGGGTGCTGCCTGATTGACTTCACACGTGAGTTCTGTACTTCGGTACTTTTTCCCAGAGCTCGTAAATCAACGGAATTTTCATAGAACGGTTTTTGCATTAAAAATTCAAAATCACGAAACGAAACTCAGCATACATTTGTTTTGCTAGCCTCGTTTCCACAGATCGGCTTCTCATCACCTAATTTTATTTTCATGCGAATGACACCGTGTTAAATCCACCTATTCTTCTTAACAACTGCGAGCTGTGGACTTTTTTAATAATGCGTTACAAATAGAAGGCTCGTTTTGACAAAAAAGCGGTAGTGGTACGTATTTGTTTGTTAGCGCCGGGGACAAAGGGAGAAAGGGCGGGGGGGGGGGGGGGGGGGTGGTGACGCGTGCGACGCTGCCATGAGTCCGAAGCGCTGACGTCAGCACGCGTCCAAGTGTCCCGCTCTCTCCGGCCGTAAAAAACAAACAAACACTGACGGCTGTCTTTTTTTTTCAAAACAAGACTTTTTGTTTTTGTCAAAATCACGCGCAGAGCTAGAGCGGATTCACAAAGGACGAGGCCCCCACCTCGCACCTCCTCCTAGATAATCAAGCCGTAGAGCTGAATGAGATGGCGTGTTTTGTTGCCTCTTCGCCGTCGCCGGTTGTTCTTCGCTCTGGGTTTCCGTAGTAGCGGTGCGTGGGCTGTGATGTGTGTGTGCAGTTAAAACAATAGGTGCGGTTCCCTCCACGAGTGATGTGGATTTGGTTCCTTCCACGAGTGGTATGAATGTGGCTCTTTCCACCAGTTATCTGGATGACCGTATCCAAGGGCGTCGACGCACTCTTGAGGGCAGAGTAGAGAAAAAAAGGCGAAAAACGTTTGAGGACACATAATCACTTCTTATGAGTTGTGAATGCGAAATAATGAATGTCGATCTTTTGCTCCCTTATTTCGTCTGCGGCGTAGTGGTGTGTACGGCAGCTTCTTCCCGGTCGACGCCGAGCGCGCGCTCTCGTGAAGTGGCCGCGCCGTGCTGAGCTTAGCCGCGCACCCTCCCCGGAGGTTGCCCGAGCAGGCTCTGCGGCCAGGCCCGCACCACCGTACCGCTCTTACCGGCGGCCGGGCCGATGCGTGCGCTGCGCCGCCATGACGAGGGCCTCCCTAATGTTTTTTTTTTTGTTTAACTACGTCCCAGCCAATCGGAGTATAATCTATCAGATAATCGGCTTCACTCCGCTCTAGTGCGAAAGGGGAATTTAGGTTTTCTTTGGCCAACGTTTGGCGTAGTTTCAAAGCTGATGATATCAGTTCGCTCTATGAGACAGTTAATGCTCTCGCATTAAAACATTTTAGAGCCCATCCACTTCACATAAAGACGGAGGAGGAGCGACTCGGTTATTTTTACGACAAATTTACCACAACTAGACGACATCTATACGATTTTCATATGACTGCAATGGAGATACGTACACGACATTGTAGTTTCCGATGGAGCCCACGTATCACTATCAGCATTGCGGAAGCGAAAGAAAAGAAGGTTAGGTCAGCGCGTTTGGCCCTCAGCCTCGTCACTGCGCACTCTTAGCAGATATAGGGGGGTGACCCTGGATGATAACAAGCAATCAGGACCTTACTAACTAACAGAGTCAAAAAAGGCTGATTCACACGGGTTGCCCCCCCCCCCCCCCCCCCCCCCCCCCCCGCCCCTCCCCCTTCTTATTTATACTTGCCGCAACCAATGAGAACGGAGGAGCGCTGTTTAAAAGGGGAGTTTTTATTATTATTAACATCCATAAAAGGTTTTTTTTTTTTCAGATGCTAGTACATAACAGCTTCGCTGTAAATATTACAGGACGATCCATTGGTGGATTTTTGAGGAATCCGTTAGCACGACACTTGGCAAACGCAACACGCGTCCCTCATTGGGGAACGCTAACACTGACCCCGTAACGAGTCCAAAAAGAGGCAGCAAAACAAGGGGAGCAAAGGAGAAGCCAAGAGAGAAAAGTTTAGGGGTCAGCGTTAGTGTTTCCCAAGGGGCCACGCTAACGCATTCCCTGAAAATTCACCAATAGATCTTCCTATACTTTTCCTAAGAAGCGTTTTAAACTTGTTCGTGACCAAACTGTTGTTTCAAAAGTACACTTAACGAAAACCTAACCGAAACAAAATCCAAAGTTGCTGAACCATATTCGAACCGGAATAATGGCCGTTTCAACTCCCTGTTTTTCCTAGCCGAACTTCGAGGGTTTACGGGGAAGACAAATAAAGTATTGTAGTGAATATGTTAAGAGACTGTAAGAATCGTACTGCAAACATTGAAATTTACGTTTTAAGGCAAGTTCCATAATATAATACTACAATATTACTTTTTTTTTTTTTGCCGCAGTGCATAGAGATTGGGGTAGGTATAAGTGGTGTCGCGTCTCACAGCGCACTAGCGGTGTTTTTGTGCAAGTATTCGAAGGAGAGAGCAAGATAGCTTCTTCTTCCGCCACGCACGAGATAGATATTTTTAAGGCCTTATCAAACAAGCAACACGCTAGACGTATATTGCTGGAGCGTACAAGGTCCGTGGGCTAAGAAAACGGGGTTTTTAATTTTTATCGTCAGTTCCGAGTTGCAAGACCTTTTTTTACGCTTAATCGCGCGATCGCTGTCTGCTGTAACACCAAGTGCCGCGAAGCGCTTTGTGCCACCACCCTTCGACTTAGTAGAATGAGTGCTTTGAGGAAGCTTTTGGATACTTTTGCAGTTGTTTCCGCCTTTGATTACATCAGCAGGTTTATGGTGCTTTTTTTCAGTATAAGAATGTGGCTTTCTATGACCATTTTGTTTTCAGGCTTAGGTATTAGACGATTGAAATAGGTGGAGTTGAGTAATTCCAGGAGTGGCAATGTGCCCGCTGTCTCCATTCTGAGGAGCTGAAAGAAATGGAATTGTCGGAAACGCCAATTACCCGTAATGAAATTGTAATAGATTCGGGCGCACCTTCCGCAACATTTGATGTTGTATATGACCAGCTTCGCTTAATGCGTCAGCATCAGTACCGACATGACAGCGAAAAGGTGACGCCGTCCGTTTGCGGGAAAAACAGTGGAAAGGGAAGCGCACAGCGCATAGAGGAGGAGAGTAGTAAGGACCATGGCGAGTGGGAGGCGCCGTCACGGGGCGAAAGCCAATCAGCGCGCGGTAAACCGGTGAACAGCGAAAGCAGCGCCAGGCGCGTACAAGCGTACGCGCCTGGCGCGCGCGTACAAGCGTAAGCGTACAAGCCGTGCGAACGAGAAAGAGGAGCGGAATCAGCGCCTAGCTCGGCTGCCCGAAATGCGCCACAATAAGCGGCAAGCCGACGTAAACATGCGTACGACCGAAGCTGAAAAAAAAAGAAAAATAAAAAAATTAAAGGAAAGTTTATTGGTGGATTCTCAGGAAATGGTTTGCCAAAGGGAAACGCCACGCACGTTCCGCTTTGGCAAACGCTAACACTGACCCCGTAGCGAAGCCAAAAAGAGGCAGCAAAAAAATAGAAAACGCGAAAGAGAAAGGCAATAGAAAAAAGCGAAGAGGGTCAGCGTTAGCCGTTCACAAGAGGGGAACGTGTGTGGCGTTTCCCAAGGGTCATGATAACGCTTTCTCTAAAACTCGTCCAATAATTTTTTTTATTTTATTATTATTATTTTTTTTGCAAGTAGATTGGAGCGGCGCTCTACTCTCGACCCCGGGGAGGAGCTTGCGGCGCAGGAGACTACGGGAATCGCCGTGGTACACTGCAGTATTCACAACAAACAAAACTCCTCTGGAGCGTGGCGTTTGTTCTCTTGTCGTGTGTGGGTTTTAACACTGAGTGTACGAGAGCTACTCAGCTGGACGGCTTGCAGTCCCCGCATGCCGCTTGCCGGGAGGCGCTCCAGTCGGTACTATATGGCTAGGCTCTAGAACGTCAAAAGTTCTTGTAAATAGACAATAGACCCTTTCCGAAATTTAGTGCCATCTGGTGGTTTGTAAAGCAGTTGAGGTTTTGCCATATCAATGGCGGAAATGAACTTGTATCGGCACCGTCACTTTCGCAAGTCAACAACACGCGAGGAATTGTTCAGTGTGAGTTCTTTCTCGATCACTTTCAGTTCGATGATGACCAAGAACCTGCATTCAGAAAAAAAGCTCTAACCCACTGAGATGCCTCAAGAAAATTCTATACACCAATTTGCTTTAAAGCCGATTGTGCGCCACCCGCAGATTGACTGAATCTGAGTTATTAGAAATACGCGCTTAGGTAGCTCTTGTGTTTCATTCCTACGTCGCGTCGTACTGACACCCCGAATGTACAGGCCTCGCAAGATCCGCTTAGGAGCATCTTCAACGTCTTCCTTTATCAGTCACTGGAAGGCCGCCATTGGTATGGCACGGATGCCGTTCCGCAGATGATGATAGTGATCAAAGTGGCCAGACTGAATTTCGGGAGGGTCTATTGACAGCATGGCTTCCAGGCTGGTGCCACATGCGAACACGCAAGTGTAACGTGCGTGAGGACGTAACTTCGACAAGCTTGCAATGGCACGAGCTTGCCCGCACGACCAGAGACATGTGGGTGGTCAGTTGCCCCGCTTGCATTCATCGTTACGAACTCAACTCTCTGACGCCAAGTTGCTGCGGTGGCGCTGCTGTCGGTAGCGCGCATACGCAGAAGCTGCCTCTCAAGCGAATATGTTTTCTGGGCACGCGCAGCGCCCGCACCTGATGTGGGCACGCGGGGACTTGTTTGTTAGCAGCGTGTCGGTATATAGACGAGGCGTGTAGCCTTCGTACCTCAAAGTAGGCTGCGTGGCCGCGTATGCCGGTGACGGGCAGCGGATCCCCCGGCCCGATGTTGGCACCCGTGGCGTCGGTGCGGAAGGTGAGGGCTGCCAAGGACTGGCTGATGCAGAGCTTGTCCCAGAGACCGTGGAACAGGCGGGCTCCCAGGGAGTTCATCAGCGAGTGAACGCTGGGACCCTGACAAAGGGAGCATAGGCCTCAAGCATTAGGGCCTGAACTTGAAGCTGTCATCATATTGCAGCAATTTGCAGTCACCCTAAGTGTGCAAAAAAGAAACGAGGGATGGTTTCAACCAAGTTATAATCGCCAAACTGAGTGCATCAGATTTAATAATTAACATTTTAACTATTCGCCCTTGCTGGTGCATTCTAAGCAGAAACCTCCAGAAAGTCACAGAAATAGGCATCTGGAGTTGGTTGACTTTGAAAAATAATATACTACATGAATCGATTCCACGGCATGTATGAGCGGTTAAAAGCCAGTCGTTCCAAAACTACAAAGTAAAAAAAAAGTAGCCAATTATTTGGACAAGAGAAGTTAGAATGTGAAGTGCCCTTCCAACGACCACGCACCTTACATTACCCGGCGATATGGTGCCGCTGTCACATCGGCAGGCTATTACTCCTCGCCCGTTCCTCAGTGGCCACTGACGACATATCGGAGCCACATTTTTATCTCATGTGCATTCTGCCGCACGAGCCAAAGGAATTGTTTGACTGTCTGAAGGGACCGCACAAAATGGTGGGTTAATGTATCGCGCTAAAATTTACCACAGAGTGGCCTGAAGGTGGTGAACCGTGAGTATCAAAATTACAGAAGGGACTTACACGAATAAAAATGTATAAATTAAGAACTCGAAACCCCGTCTTGAGGTTTCCATTTGCTAACGAAGCCGTTTGATAGGCGCAACAATGATCAGAGAGATAGCGGCGACACATCATGAGACAACACATCCGTTTTGAGTGGTATTTCCAGTTGTGTTAATTTTTACGTATTGTTAGTACAGATAAAATATTCATGCATTGACAACTACCACGGAAAAATAGCGTGTACCTTCTGTTTCAGGAGGGTCGTCTGCTATTTCCGAAGTAGAGGGAACCGCGCGTCCTGGCAGCCTGCAATCTTACCTGCCGCCATTTCTCGGCTGTTGCGCCAACCAGGTGTCTTTCGTTAGCAGACAGATGTCGGAGACATGGATGCCATGATCTTGGTGTCCCACTTTTTATTCTGGTAAATCTGTTCAGTAAAATGTCGATACTTTAGGTCCACCACCTTTAGGCACCTCTATGGTAAATCCTAGAGGGACAGGTTAGGAAACCGATTAATACGGTTCCTTTAAACAGACAAAGATTCCTTTGACTCACGCGGTAGTTTTGGTACCTCGAGCCCTTGCCAACTTAAAATTTGACATCGGCCAGTATACAAACAACAATTACGTTTTAAGAAATATAACAAGGAAGACTTTTTCTTTTCCCACGCATCTTTGATTATAATGCGCCAGCTGAGAAGGCAAATATTAAATATTGAAAGTTGTAAATTTCAAATATTTGGACTGTTGAGGATCACGCTGCGCGCGTCCTTTAAAGTCTGCTTCTAACGACAAAACAAAACAAAAATGGCCCCACCCCCTCCCCTTTTCCCCCCAAAAAAATAAATAAAAATAAAATATTTTGGACTACTTCAACATAATTTGAAGATAACGATTAGTTAAAACAAAACTTATACCCGTCTTAAAGGGGTACTCCACCGATTTTTTGAGCTACCTCAACTAACTATATTTTCTGACTCCCCGGCCTTTAGCCTTTCCGGAATGCTATTTAGCATCGCGAAATTCATAATAGGTATTGTGAAATCGGCAAATGAAAATAGTGCAAAAACCAATATTCAAATATTCGCGCACTTTTCAGTGCCGTGACGTCAGTGGCAGGCAGGCTTGCCAGTCGAGCAAGTAGTCTAAAAATAGAGTATGCCAATCATTAGTTCCGTGCTGGAGCGCGGATACGGGAGCAAGCTTCCAAAGCACTCATTTGACACCGAGAAACTGCTTCAAATCCGTTGAGAACAACTTCTGTAGTCCAAAAAGTTAACCCCTGCCTTCCACCGACGTCACTTTGTTGTTGTTGCCAGTAGAGACTTTCAGTTTGAAAGACATGGTGTAGACCAAAACTGTAAATTCAATAACTTCGCGAAAAATAATATTTTGACCTAATATTTGGGATACTATTTTAGCAATGTTTGTTGGTTAGTTTAGCAAAATTCCAAGCAAATCGGAGACAATGAAAAAAACGGTGGAGTACCCCTTTAAGGGCGATTCACACACTTGCGTTGAGTCCAACCGAAAAGCGAGGGTTGTATGGCAACAGCTGCATCGGCTCCAACAAAACCGATTTTTACCCTGTTTTGTTGGAGCCGACGCAGCCGTTGCCATAGGAACCCTTGTACTCGGTCCGACTAAACTTTGTGTGTGGGAGTCACCCTGTAAACCTTAAAAACAGAGCATTAATTCTATCTACAGAAGCAGTTGGGAGATACATGTGCAGCGCGTTTCGAGCTGCACTGGGTAATTACACATCAGCTTTAATGAGCTCGGAAGTCGCTCGAAATCTGGATGAATTTAGACGAAGGTAAGTGAAAATTCAGGTTCCCAGCTAAAATCTCATGGAAATATTGCCAGCCGGATTGAACGAAACGTACTTCCACTAAACTTAGCGTGTTACACTTTTTGGTTGCACTTGGAAGAAACACCTTTTCTTGTGGCATTCGTATAAAACTCCAGTCCTAAACACATATAATGTGTCCTTCCCCCTCCCCTCAAAAACGAAGTAAAACAAAAACATAGTGTTTCTTTTGCGAAAATGAACTGTGCGTCATTAAACGTTCATTCTAAGCCAAATTGTGATGCTAGAGGTGCGAACCAGATGCCAAAGTCTCAGCACTAAACGTTGTCTTATTTCAAAGTTGTGTGAGTTTCTGAAAATGGGAAAATTGGGCCCATTTTTCCTCGTTTTCTGCAAATGGCGCCAGAGAGTATGTATTAGAGAGTTTTGGAGGCCGCCATTTTCCCATTGAATATTGCAGGAAATCACGTATAATTCTTGAATAGGTTAATGGTTAGTGATCAAAGTTCCGCATCTGATTCGAACTTCTAGCGCTACACATGGGTGGAAAATGAGCGTTCAGCAATGCGTAGCTTAATTTTGCAATAAATAAAAAATAAAAACATTTAATCTTCTTTTACGTTTTTTTAAGACACCGGCTATGTACATGATTTGCACCGACGGTAACATTGGCGGGCATTTTGGCGGCCTTGCTGCTGAACGAGCACCTTCTGCGACGCACTTTTCGCCCCACTAAACATCTATCTTTTTTTCTTTGCAAGAACCGATGGTTCTCGCCAGCACAGTACGATGAAGTTACCCGTAAGACATGTTTAATGTTTAAAAACAGGCTTCTTCCGAATTCTGAGCCCTTCTAACCTGCGCTGCCTCGTAAGGGCTGGCGCAGCGCAACCACGGGCTAGCAGGCCCGTAGAGCGCATGCGCTTGCACGATGAGGATGTCCGTGAGCTTGGCCAGAGTCCCAAGCTCGCGTCCCAGTTCCACCAGGTGCTCTTGTGTAGGCAGCATGAGGGACAGCACGTAGTCCCGTGGAGACCCGGGCCTTCGCAGCTGAGCGCCAAGGTAGCGGACCAAAGCTGCATATTATAACGTAAGGGCAAGAAAGGCGATTCAATTTCTCAAAGCCCGCCCGCGTTTTATGTCTCCGCTCCACAAACAATTGGTCCTCAAGGGAGAGGACGAGACGAAAACGCGTGGTGACGTCGTAGCGCATAGATTTGAACAGAATGATTAGTGGTAGTCGCGAAAGCTTGCGTTCTAGGTCTCTGCCCATCGTCTCCCTCCGATAAGAGCAAACGAGAGCGTTGTGTGCTCTTTGCGCAGTAGAGTCGTCCAGCGTTCAAGCGCTGAACTCCGGCTTCCAGTGTTCGAAACACTGTGCGCGAAGCAGACAACGCTCTTGCTCGCTCTGACTGGAGGGAGGATGTTGGTAGAGATAAGGCAGGTAGCATTCGGGTCTACGCACAAATTCGGGGTTTATCGCTATGATGTCACCACGCACTCTCATTTCCTTCCCTCTCTAAGTTTCTCTGCACATAGCGATTGAAGTGGTGAGGACGACAGGGCGCCTGTATCGAAAGCCTGGCTTTCAGCACGTGCCCTTTGTCTTCCGCCGCGCTTTGGCTGCGCGTACACAATCGAGGCGTACGACACGCGGAAGCACCACCTAAGGTATTGCAGCTAATGCTGGAGGAGGGACAGCTGCAACTCCTCTCTATCGTCTTCATCCTGTGAGTCACTAAAGGGGTTTAAAAGTACGGCCCCCGGGCGACGTCATATGGCTCGCTTGGGGTGAGCTTGGGCGCGGCCAGAATCCGTTTATGACGCCTCGCTAACGTGCCGTAATCGGATTGGCTTGGCGTTGTCTCAGCAAGATGGTGGCGCCCATAGGCCCTACTTTGAAACGTGCAAATGCGAAAATTTTTTAACACATTTGTATTTATTTATTTACTAACATAATTTTACTTATTTTACTAACATACCACTGAATATTCTGTGGCTCATAGTGCGCTAAAGTTATTCGACAGATTCATGCAATGCGGCAAAAATTTCGAAACAAAACAAAAGAAAGTTGGGAAACTATTAAAAAATACATATGCTGATTTAATATGAGTTGGGGAAGCTTATTTCCGTCCGAGTTTTTATTGTCTGTAAGAGAAACTTCAAACAGTCTCCCATTACACGTGCATCGAAGAACGTCCAAAAACCTTAACTGATACGAGCGAACGCTGATATACGAATGTTTGATAGCGCTCGTGTTGTTCGTATTTATTGTTGAGTAAAAAAATACACACCGATGTTTACGCTGCACAGCTCGAACGTACGCTTTCCGCTTTGTAGTTCTACAGTTCCGTTACACCTTTTTAAAAATCTCCGGTAGATGTTGTGCGAAGGTATAAATGAACTAAATACGTGATTAATTAAACCAGGGGGAAATATAGATAGTGACCTGTAAGAGCAGACACGTCTTGTGGTGTTCCGCAGCGCCCACCAGGCGTTGCCCAATGCAAATTGACGCCGTCGTAGCCAAGAGAAATCAGCGTCGCCTTGATGTCTAGCGCCAGTTGAGCGCGCTGCTTCCTGTGGTGAGGATAGGAACGAAAATCAATCTTGAACACGAGTTGAGGCGTTCAATTAAGTGCGGCATGGCTGTGATCAATGTTTTTTTGGGAATGTAAGCGGGCGAATTCACCGCATTTTCCTGTGGAGTAATCGGACAATATATGTTGAAACGTTTAAACGCTACGCGGAGTGGGCTATGCAAATAATTGTTCTTTTTTTTTTTTCTTCTACATATTTCATTATAACAAGACATGACGAATTTTGTGGACGACAGACTGGTGACTAGTGTATAATGCAACCTTATTTGTGGCTTAACAAAGCAGGCGTTTCTCAGGGTGTGTCGTCTATGAGAAGGGAGTTTACGTGCATGCACCAGGTTTTGAATATTCTTTTTAAGCTAAAACAAAGCGCTAGCTCGCAACCATAACAAGTGTTGATCTGGTTTCTTAGATGACGCAAACGTTTCTCGTAGCAATTCACTGGAGTTGGAAAACCAAAAGGCACGCGCTGGGTTTCAGACATCGTCAACCCGGGGTCACACTGCTCATACATTATAAAAAAGCGTGTCTGCAAACACGAGGTCACAGCGACATTCGTGGTTCGAACACCACGTGCCAAGTTTCCTTCTTGGACTCACTGCCATGCAGCATTCGAGGCGCAAAGCTCGCGTTGACTCGCGTTCCAATCTGTATACAGGCTGTATTTTGTCTGATGTATGAGGAGTGTGAGCCCTGCTCTAGGGGGTTCTGTTATTCTCATCTTCGCAGCGACTAGACAGACCACGTGATACGACACAAGGCTTTGCGAAGGAGCGGCCGAAATAAGAATTGCGAAAAACCAGACAAAATGCGCTGCGATTGACAGGGGTAGCTGCTGCGATACACAGGACGTGGTTTTTCGGCTGAAGTGCTCCTCTACAACCGAGGCGCTTGCGACCGCTTTTGCGGTGGGAGAAGCGAAAGTATTTACGCGAGCTGGTTTGTACATGCGCAGAACACAGGAGAAGGGAAGATGGGTCGCGGCAGTGGTGGGAGGAGGAGTGTGTCCTGACACCACGACCACGTGTGTATTTCACAACAATGACTGCTGATGGCATTTCTGTTTGTTTTTTTTGTGTGTTTTTTGAGCGAACCGGGGGGGGGGGGGGGGGGGGGGGGGGGGAGAGACAGTTCCTGTGTACGTGGATGTAGCGGGAACCATGGGGAGACGGATATCGCTCTTACTGTGATCACGTGGGGTGTTCGGAACAGCGGAGTGCCAACGTTACTGTGATAGCAACCTTGGTGGGGGTCTCCAGGCGGAAGGGTTTGGGGGGAGGGGGGAGCGAAAGAGCCTTGGCCGCAGTTGGCATTATGCGTGAAGAATGACGAAAAGTGTGAGAGCAGTTCCTTTGCTGTAGATTGGGGTTCTGAGTTTGTACATGTGCATTTCTTGCCGAATAAGGGAACTAACAGCTACCACTGTAAAATATCCGCTGTGTATATCCGCCAAATTATACTGCGAAAGAGAAGATTCTTGATCGCGGGCGTTCAGTCCGAATACTTTTTTGGTCCCACGAGTACCAGAAAGCTTCCGTAAACTGAGACACATTCCATCTCACTATCGTTGCTTGGTCCATTTAAGGCCCATTCACACACATGCGACTCCTTCAAACCAAACGCCTTAAGATCTTTTAAAATCTCTTACGACGAGAAAACACACTGCTACGCTGGCGCCATGTATTCGGTGGCTCTGGAACTGCATTTCACTATAGCGAAAGTTCGGTGGTATTTGCGTAAACAAGTGTACGTACTACTTATGAGAAATATTCGTTTAAAACATTGACAAAAGTTTTTCATGCCAAAACAGAAAGTATGATGCGGGAAAGAAACCGAAAATATACGGGACCGCCAGGTGCTCCACTGCTACCCGATAGGTGGTTCCAGTGCATACTCTTGTCATTAAAGGTTTTAAGAGGTTTCAAGGCACTCGGTTATAGAAAGTCGCAAGTGTGTAAACAAGCCTTTGATGCTCACTCAATAGAAAAAAAAAACGCTATTAGAGAATCTGAAGGTGTGGACGCCACGCTCTTTTTAGACGATTTAGACGACGGACCGAATCGCAATTTTTTGTGAACGCAGCGTGTACCACTTGACAGCCACATCACCGATTCCTTCGATCCGCGCCTTGTCCGCGGATCCGCGGACTGATAATGTCGAGCGCCTTTTCACTCGCGGATTTTGGCGGAAGATTGATTTGAAAAGCGTTTAGTCTGGAAACGAAAAAAGCGTTTAGTCTAAAAACCGTTCAATATGTTTCTTGTTTTTCGTTTTTCTCAGATGACTGAAGAAAAAACTGCGCATCGTTCTGTTTTGCGCGTTAGCTGGTTCGTTTTGTCGCGCGATTCTTGGTTCCACGCGTGAAAGAAACTGCAGCAACTTTGTTCGGCTGACGCCGACGCAGGTTCCGGTACTCTCCCCGGTTCCCCTCTCAAGAAGCTTTCATAAAAAAACTGGTCTAACACGCCGCGATAATTCTTTTTCGTCCAATTAGCCTTTCACCGAACAACACCTTTCTTACGGCTGTAGGGTGATTAAGCGTTGTGTACGGGCGCGGAGTGCGTAAAGGCATCTCCAAACGTCCCTCCGCAAGCCCAGTACTTCGTGGCTTCTACGCCGAAGCCTTCTCGAGCAAGACCATGCCTGTGTGACTGTCATGCATGCCTTAGGTCAGTAAAGCTAATGTTCTTCGGGCCAAGCCCATCACGGTGTCCCGCCTCGATCTGTAAGTAACAGCGGCGTCCGATTCTTTATCGCGTTAGTAAACGTCGATTTCTCTCGTGAACAACAGCGCCACGGTGCGATCTTGGAGTTTCGTTGCAATGTGGGTTGGCGAACGGGTTCGGTCCGTCCTCGCTGGCGCCTGTTCGTCGACTCCCTCGTGTGGAGGCGCTTGAGAGACGGATGAACCACGGACGTGTCTTCACGCAATTAATACGATCACGGATCAATCTTTCGTGTGAATTTTCAATTAGCAACTCTGCCGTCAGCCAAGATTAAGCAACACTTTTTAAATGTGTGAATGTTGTAGCTCTGGTCCCGGAGTAATAAATAATAAAATCCGATAAGATGCCGGGGATTAAACCAATTTACATATTTTTCACCTTCCTGGTTCGAAAGAAATAGCGGCAGATATCCGAGAGAAACGTTAAAAAATAATTTGAAGATGGCGCAATAATTCCTGTTTACGAATCCCGCATTTAAATACTCTTTCAAGACGGGGAATGGCGACACCTCCAATGCAAGGTGAAAACAAGAACAAATAAAAGGTTTGTACGAGTTTGACTTGGTTTCCTTCTTCCGAGGTAAGAAATGAAAGTGCGCCAAAGGGAGGTTAGCGAGGATGGACGCTTGTGCATTTCAAATTTCCTTGAATTTCTTTTCTTTTAAGTTTATCTTGATGTGTCTAGCTAAGACCTTGTGCGAAAAGAAAATATTGATGATGCGGTACACGCGATATACCGTCGTGTGCTGGGAAACATGCGCAATTCTTTTTCATTAGGCCCGCGGATGGCGCCAGGATGGCGAAGGCGGGCTATCAAGATTTTATATAAAAAAACAATCTTTAAATATACATACAAGTACGGATAAAGTGGGAAGAGGCCTTATTCAGGCGCCTGTAGCATTGTTTTTAGTGAAAATAATTTAAGCAGAGGACACCACTGTTTTTTTGTGTTTTAATGTGACAGGCTTTCAGATAGCGATAATTGCTATAGCATTCTCAAGCTATGCCTAGGGTCGTTTTCTTGTCGTTTGAAATTTAAAAAAAAATAAAAAATTCACAAATTTGATTTTGACCAGGTGTGTTTTATCTTATAACACTCGTCAATGTAAATACCCTTCGGTCGCGAAAGAAAAAAAAAAAAAAGCCTGTAACACAGAAGTAAAATTTATTTGCCGCTAACTTCTAGTTATTCTGCATGGTTGTGTAAAAAGCAGGGAAATGCAAAAATGCTGTTCACTCGCTTTAGAAGAATCAGGGGCGACTCCTGGCTTCGTGATCAGACCTAAAGCAATTCTGAAAGGTTTGATTTGGCGTTTTTTTTTTTTTTTGTAATTATTTCTATTCATAAAAAATACAGCAAAAATCACGTTACGTAATCAGAAAATTAAGGCGAAATATGTCCAAGCCCTCTCCCTCTCACCACGAAAATTCCTAACAAAGTTGTCCTACAGCAAAAAAAAAAAAAAAGACTAAAAAAATTTGCATGCCAATTTTTAGGGAGTAGTTGTTTGAGATCAGGACGGGGTCGTTGCGAGCTAAGATATCAAGTGTTAACTACCACATCATCATCATCATTTAATAAGAATTGAGATCACTTACTGGCATTATACAAAGGCTTAGGGGGGCATTGAAACATTGCCGGATGAAGGCATATCAAAACTGAAATCAGCACTCAAACAAGCGTATAAATAATAAACTAAAAAAAACTATTAGCGCAGTTGCAGATGGTTACTTAGCTGCGATATGAATGTGGTATAATCTATTTGAGCAAGATACTTTGCGGCAGGTTATTAGAGTCAGTTTTTGTTTACGGCAAAGCAGAGTTAAGAAACAAGACAGATGACGAGAAAATCGGGCGTGCCTAGACGCCTTATCAATGCGAGGAAATATGAGATTAAGTGGAAATAGCAATGAAGTTCTAATGTCACTGTTATGATAGTAGATCTTGCGAAAAAGGGAGACACGTGATAATGTTCTCCCAAATGAAAGTAGATCGAGATTAGGGTTTACTTTTAGTGAAGTGATACTGGTGTCTTGTGAGTAGTCTCAAAATATCAATCTGATTGCGTAATTTTGAACTGCGTATGTTCGATATCAATGAATGTTGCCAAGGAGGCCAAATAGATGTCGCATATTCGAGTTGAGACATCATATGTGTAGTGTAAGCTAGATGTTTTACCTATGGTGGTGTCAGTTTTAGATTGTGTCGAAGATAGCTCGAAAAGTGGTGAGGGTTAGACAGGATAGGGGGGGTGTTAAATGAGTGTTCCATGCGAGATCACTGCTAGATAAGTGAACACCGAGATATTTGTGCAACAGACTCTTGGTAATGGGCTGGTTGCAGACTGTATAAGTAGAAGTGATAGAACTATAAGCACGTGTGAAGGAAACGAGATGCGTTTTAAAATAATTAATTGTCAGTTTCTGCGTTTTACACCAGTCGGCAATAATGTTAATGTCAGCTTGTAAAGATTTCTTTTGTCCATGTGAGAAACTGATCTGTAAATTACGCAGTCATCTGCGAAAAGTCAAACAGGATGTTATGTGATAAGGGGGGATATTTACAAATATTAGGAACCGTAGAAGACCAAAAACACTGCCCTGGAGGACTTCGAATGTTACAGGAAAAGATCTACACGAGGAATTGTTAGCTACAGTGTGCTGAGTACGACTGCTAGTCCGTGCCCGAATGTTTCTTGCTCGGCCGTGCGCGCGGCAGTATGAACAGTGAGTAGCTAAGGAAACCAGGCACAGCTTGATTTTCCGTTTCCAAATTCCAAGCCAGTCTGCTAGTAGAAAACACAACACTAAACGACATTTGGTGGATCAGAATGCTTTGCATATCGAGCTGAATTAAACCGAAGGGAAATAAAGACCTATTTTGTCGCGTCAATAATTGCCTACCCATCACCGAATTCTCAATCTACGTCGGATTGTAAACATAGCCACCGAGATACGATTTCATAACTGAGCCATTTTTTATTCACCACTTTCCGGACATTACTCATAAGTCACCTAACGCAGAGCTTTTAACTTGGCATCTAATCCGAATCGCGAATGCTACGTTCGGGTGTAGACTGAGCTAACTGTGCATTCGCCTATATGTAGTTTATTTTTGTTGCAGTGTCATAGCCGTGTAGTGCACCAAGCATGTCAATGGTGTCGTGTTGAACATCAAGGCACACATCGACACTACATGACAGTTTCCAAGCATCTGAACCCTTCTTTCGTTCAGCCTGACGAACGCCGAACTGATGAAGTTTTGTGCACAGTGCTGCCATAAAAACATCACGAGATAGGAGCGCGAGAAAGTAACCGGTGCACCACCTTGAAAGCGCTACGTCTCGGGTAAACCACGCCAGCGCCACACAGCGGCAGCCACTTCAAAGGCCTCTCGGAGACCACTCTGCAGCTGCGGCTATACCTCTTCAAGAACGCTGTAACCGTAGGTATACACCTTTCCAAAAAAGAAACGTTAATAAGCCGCCGTTAGGTTGCTGATGATGAAGTAGCTGGTGCGCCGCTAGAAAGTTTCTGCCACTATCTTAATCTGTGGAGTCCTGCTCAGCGCAATTCTCCACCTATGTTTTGCGGTTTGGCATTCCAAGTTTTCCGGCCCCTCTGAAATGTTTCCACTGGATGTTTCTGATGGATGTTGCGTAAGCTTTTTGTGATATATTCCACTTGACTGCCATTCAAGTGTTTCTGCTCTACATTTACGGAAAACAAAGGAGGGGAACGGCAAACGACCCTCGACGCGATTTTGCGAACTATGATAACTGTTCTCGCCCCTCCCAGAGATGAGCAGCGTCAAGTGCTTCTCGCTCATCGCCAAAAATAGTTGTTTGGTTCGGGTTGGTGGAGAGAACGGGACAGTCGCGCCCGTTTTTTTTTTTGCATTGGTGATGGTGTGAAAAAAGAAAAAGAAAGATATCTTCTTAAAACTTGCCCCAAAACGAGGTCCTTCTGCATTCTGTCCGTTCGTCGAGATGTGAGGGTCGTCGGCGTTGTATTGCCGTGTTATTTGAGATCTTTCTCAAAATATATTTTGGATGTCGCTACACCGTGTGGTACTACAGTATGTTGTTCTAATGTTAACACTTTTCACAAGGGCTCCGCCATCATGAATTGTTGTCACTTCCTGCATGAAGGAAAATATTGTTTTTCCGTCGCCGCGCCAATACAAGACACTGGGGATATAAGCGTAACCGTCACCCATTTTTATTTTGCCTTCCCTCCATGTTTTACTACTTACAGGTTGAAAAGTTTTATTAGTATTTCATGGCCCATACCAGATACGCCTTTCTAAGTGGCTGGGGACAACAGGAAATGAAAGAGGTCTATACCCTGCAGTGCGAGCGCCGCGATCAAGGCGGCGGCGATTGGATCGATGCGTTCAGTCGCTGGCAACATGGACTAAGCGGGATTCTAACACGTTGACAACACCAAGAGGCGAGGCTCATAACTACGCTACCCTTGGCCCTGCCAAAGCCAATGACGTCACGGGCGCCACGGATATCCTAAGGCACAAAGTGCTCTTCATTATTTTTTTTTGTTTTTCATTTTAAGGCGCTTGGTAAATTAAGTAATTTAGAAGAAGTAATATCGTCATCATTCAAAATACAAGCCTGCCGTTATTATTTCGTAGTATTATTGATCCTATTCAACTCATTCCTTAAGTTTTGATTTAGGATACCTTTAAGAGGAGGCCATAAAACAAACTTTTTGTTAAAGTCTCACAAACCCGTGATTTGTAAAAGCGGTAGATTGCGGCCACAGAACACACCACGATAAACACAAAGAGCAGACTTGTTTGCCTTTGTGTGAGTGCCTCCTCTGTTTCCCTGGTATTTTTAAAACTGTGGCTGTCTTGAATGAATCACAAACTCGCCGACGCCTTCATCTTAGGAAGGGCTTGTCAGACCTGTCCACGGCGAGCCTGGACCAGTTTCCATTGTCCGCCTCTTCGCCCCCGACGCTGAAGAGCAGCTTGGTGCCGTAGCCCCTTCTGTCGGCGACCTTGCGCAGCTCAGCGAGTCCGAACCTGAGGTCGAAGCCCGGGTTCCGGTACGCCAGGCGTCCTTGGTCGAGGGCGAAGGGTGCGTGGTACAGGACGTGAGTGCAGTAGCGGAGCGCCATCTGCCGAGGAAAGTAGGCGTACCGGGCGGGCATCCGGTGGGCCAGGCGGTCGTAGAAGCAGAGCACCGAGCGGGTGCCGTTGCGCACCAGGCGAGGGGCCAAGAACTCCCGATCACTGTCGTTCCACGATCGCTCCTGCTCCTAAGGAAAAAAATTCCATAGTCACTCCTTGGATGAAAACGACAGGGCGGAGATTCAGATGTTCCAACTCCTGAGCCCGCTCGCTACTTTTATTGACACTTTGTCGTCTCGTAAGCCACACTTTTTTGTTAAGGTCTCCCCAACACAATGCGTGAACTTGCAGTCGCAGCACTGCATGAGACAACGGTCATTTGGTGGAGGCTGGGCATTAAAAATCAACGACCTGCCCTTCTCACCTTCTCAGTGACTATAGTTCCTCGTGTCTTCCTGAAAATGAACGGTGGTGACATCCAAGACAGGCAGTGCGCACTGCTGCACACAGTTACACCGCCGTGCCTATATAGCCGATTAATGTCCAAGTTGGGCGGACGGTGTTTGTGTGAAAAAGTGACATTGCGTTTCACAGTGACATCACGTGAAACTGTGACGTCACGTGGCACCATAATGTCGCTTTAACGAAGTTTCTGCTTAAATTAGAGCATCCAAAATCGTCGGTTCAACGCTGTAGGCGTTTAACCGAGGGTGTCGGGTTTCCGCGTCCCGTCCCCCACCAGAGACGCTGTTGAAGCAAGTGTAGAAGCCATGGCTGTGTTCGTGCTCTTCAAACCGGTAAACTAAAAGCTGTGATTGGAGCTCAGAAGTTCGTTTCTGATTCGTCAGATTCTCTCCAGAATGCTGCTACTTGTTGCATATAGAGGTGAACTGTCGGGGAAAATGGCACGGAATCTTGAGAGCAATCCTAGACGCTGGTTCCCTGTCCTGCAGTCGTGAAGACGACGGGGCGTTGAAACCTGCCGTTGGAACGTCCTTGTTTCCTCTCAAGTTATGTTCGTTTCTGCGTAGTACCGCGTTGCGCCAGTGTTGCGGTGTAAGTGAGTGAGGAATTGCGCCAGAGAAAATCATCCGATGGTCCGGACCAAGATCATGGACGAGGCTTCCACCCATTGGATTAGCGACTAGGGAAAATACTGTAAAAGCCTTAATGTTCGCAGTTCTTAAGTTTCGCGAATTTCGCTAGTTGAAATATTTACGAAATTTTTTTGGCACGCGAACATTTTGGTTTTTAAGAGTTTCAAAACAGGCGGCTGGAATTCACGAAATTAAATGGCCTCGATTATGCTCTCCATGACGGACTCGCTAAAAATATGAGTCGCGAAAATAAAAGGTTTTACGGTAAGACCTTTATTCGCATTTGTATATTGTTGCGCCCGTGCGCTTTGAATCTGCGTCTATGTATTGAACTACTCTTTAGTTTTCTTTTTCCCTGTTCGCAAGCGCGCGTCACCTAGAGTTCTTTCTCTTTTTTCGAGAGTTAACTTTTTGTCATTTTTCGAAAGTAATAAATATCCGTTGATTGTTATCTCGTAACCTGTAATCACCTTTCGTCGTCATTTTTACACGGACGTGGCCCTTTCGTCTGTTAACCGTTCAAATCTTCTTTTAATTTTGGTCGTGGATGAGCTCTGTCCTTTTCTTTACGTTTTCACACTAATTGACACACTTAACCACGTACTTTGTCAAAAAATATTGAGACAGAAAAAGTTATCACGGACACAATAACTCCGCTCTAGGACACTATGCAAACTCCGGGGCACAAACGGCCGAGAGAGACGATCCACAACCGCTCCCAACATGAATCCGACTTAATACGCACTAGATGCGTATAGCTCACAGAAAGGCAGAAAGGCTGCAAAAAAAAAGAAACTTGCAACTGTGATACCCCAGGGTTCACTACGGTTCATCAAACGCCATTTCATCAAAACAAGAATTTTTTTTTTTTTTTTAAACGGGCACGTTTGATTCAGGCTAGGTTTAGAGAAAGCGGAGCCTCAGTTTAGAGAAAAGCCAATAATTTATAAGAGAACGCTGCCAACAACATAAAAAATGCTTCGTTAGTTCGCGCATGTACCACTGTTAATCCACCCGGCCTCATCGCTCACGCAGCTTCGCGCCGACAACCTCAGGCGGCTACTTACAAAAATACGAAACCACTCGGCCCACCCATAAATTCGCTAAAAGGAAGATCATCGCTATTTCCTTTAAACTAGGTTTCTGTATAAAGTTAATTCTATAAACGGGGGTCTCTACACCGGCGTTTTCTAAATTGAGCTTCTGTAAAATGGAGGCCTCAGGATACCCCAACTACCACCCTTTACCCAAAGGCCTGGCGTAGGAGAGTCCAGGTTTTTATTCATAAAGCCCGCACCGGAGCAGCACTCACGAAGACATTCTTCAAAAGTGGAGAGCGTAGGTTCCCGAGGAAGGGGGAACCTCAGTTGCAAGAGCCACAACCAGGTGGTGCCGCTATTCCATTTCGTCACAAAAAAAAAAAAAACACGTTTGTAGCCATTACACTTTTTGTCACATAAAATACACTCGAAAACTTTAGTTCAACGTACAGCGCACTCAAGTCGAAATGAAGGCCTCGACTTTTACGAGATGCTTGATGAAGGTGCGATATAAGATATTAAGCTGCTGTAGTACGTATCAAAGACTACAGGAGAAGTACTGAACTTATGGAGTAAGCCAAGAAAACCCTGATTACTTTTCTTTTATTTCGCAGTCAGTCACACTTACACTAGCTATTCTCTTTGATTGTACAACTCGGCTATGAAGCCGCTCGTGAATGTTGGTAACGTAGGTTCAACGTCAGTATGCTGTACTTCCAACTGAAGTTATGAGGTGAATTAAATGTGACAAGGGGATGTAAGAATACACCTTTTTGGTTTGTGGATGATCCCGAATACGACTTGTCAAACGTGTCAACTGGCTCTTGACCCAATGTACAACTCCTAATTTGGATATGCCCGAGACTTCAGTAGAACAGAGAGAAACACAAAGGAACGCTATCCTCACTGTACGAGCGGATTCACCCACCGGTGGCGGAAGCGAATATCTTCACGTCCCTTTGGAACTTCGCTCAGGCACTCGGAATACACGTAGATTTTTAAGAACTGCTAAACCCTTTAAGCCCTAAAAAACTCTTTACCAAACTAGCCACGACTCTCTACGTTTCGACAGTAAAATGTATTCATTCGTTCAATCTCATGATTACAACATTTTGTACTAAACAGCAGTACATATTCATCCAACTTACCTTTTTCTTATTGATCTAGTTTAAATATGTGTATCTAAATGCTTATGTATGCTTATACATGTTGTATTTCTTCATGAATATTGAATTCTTTACTCTACGGCCCTTCAAAGTGCAACAGGTCCCAAATCCGGCCCTTTAACTTTTTTGTTCACGCTTCTGGAAGTTAGATTTGAGGTGCCATAACAGCACCCGCTGTCTATATGAACCTGTAAACTTTGCACTTATGCTCCGGCGTCTGTGGCTTCCTTCAAGTGTGAAATAGGATAGGTGGTAGAAATCACAAGGTTTAGTTTAATTTTTACGTAAAGCAAGCGGCCGAAATAGTTCAGTTGGGAGAGCGTTAGACTGAAGATCTAAAGGTCCCTGATTTGATCCCGGGTTTCGGCAAATTTTTTTTAGACTTTTTACTGCTTAAGTCAGGAGTCTCCAGATATTTAGGTAAAGGGGCCCTACGCTGATTGGCTGGTTTAGGCATTGCATAACATGCAAATCTACGCTTCTTCGACGCTGATTCGGTGGTGATTGCGATGTCGTCGGAAAAACATCTGCGGCTATGGAGAGCTCTGGAAAGGCGCCAGGGCCGACTTGCTGATCTCGCGGCAGCGTGGTGTATGGGGTAAACACGCGGACTTTTATGTCTGCGTGCCTCGGATTCGCAACGTGTCTCGGATTTTTATGTCTGCGTTTATGTCACGTCACCAACTTTATTCGGACAAGGAAGGACTGTATCTAGCGCCACTGCCTAAGGGCAGAGAAGTCCGTGTCACTTCGTGCACAAAAGCTCAATTTCTCTCGCAGAAACTGACCGCAGAGGCTTTCAACTCGAGTCCAGTTAACCGCCCACTTATACTTTAGGAGCGGCGGGAAACGATAGGGCCAGGGAAGGTGACTATGAGCCAAAAGAGAAATCAGGCAAGGTAAAAGCGGTGGCCGTATATTTATATACCGGCGGCGCAACTTGCGCCATCGGCTGTAGTCGAGAGGTGACACTGCCGGGACAGGTCGCGGCGTAAAAGTTCCGGGTTTTATCCCCGTCACAATACTTTTTTTTTTTTTTATAAATTCAAATTCTGCACGTGCGTCTGACTTCTGTTTTTGGGATCCTTTTCATGAATCATACAGATCATCGACTTGCACGACTGCGCCGTACAAGGTTATTATTTTTGTGCCACCCTTTGTATTGACACAAAGGAAGAAAAAGCGAAGAGCCAGCTCAGTTAATGCGCAAATAGAGGTTTGATAATATTCATGAAAAGGGAGCCATAAATGGAGCCTCGGTATGACTTGTCTACGAATAGGGCCGAACAAGATTCTTTTCCCCAGCAACTTTAATTTTGTGTTTTAAATATACAACGTTCTTTCTACAACTGTTTTCAATGAGAGGCGGTACCTATTTAGTACTAATACGCACTGCAATTCATCATCATTTATTTTCCTTGAGGGCCCGTGGGGCGTTATACAAGGGGGTGGCAATAGAACAAAAAAAAAAGTGATGGAACAGTTAACACAATTATAACACTGTAGGCTAGTTTGGTAGGGTAAAGAGAGGGTAATGGCTTGAACAAATTTAGTAGTATCATTAATAGAAACGATGTCTATTAAAAGATTAAAAGCTTAAAGTAAAAACAACAGCCCCGGATGCATTGATTTAGCGAACTCCCACGGGCCAGTCACCAAGTGTAACGTCTGCTAAAAACGTAAAACTGAAATAAAGTTATTTCAGTGCGTGGAATAGGATAAAATTTGCATATTTACTAGCAGGAAAGGAGAATGGGCATATCCCCCTCTCCGTACTTTTCCCTCCTCCTCCCCAAGAGCTGCGCTCTAACTCGGTGTTACAGGGAGTTGTAAACTGCTTTCACTTTTTCTACTATCGATAGTCAGATTTCTGGTGACTGTCGATCCTATCGATAGTACTATCGATATTTTGCACCACTCGAGCGAACAAAGTTGCCGCACCGCTGCTCGAGTCCCTTCTTCCAGTCTTCGCCCAAACAGCCGTCTTCGTCATCACTGAAAGTTCGACCAAAGCTGGGATGGTAAGTGATGGCTAGTAGGTGTCCTATTTGAAAAAAATAAAGCGAGAAAAAGAAAAGATGGAGCGACGGAAACCACTAGTGTCGCGAAATTATCAATTGTAAACCGTCAACCATATTATCGTTAGGTTTACGACAGTCGGCTATGGATAGTTTTCCAATAGTCGATTAACGATAAATTTCCCATTGTCGACCATCGATAGTAAAATCCATAACTTTTGGATAGTCGACTATTAATAGTACTATTGATAGTTTTCGATAGTCGACTATCAATAGTACTATTGATAGTTTTTCGATAGTTTTTGGAAAATCGACTATTGATATATACTATCAATAGTTTTTTGATAGTCGACTATCGACAGTACTATTGATAGTTATTCGATAGTCGACTTTCGACTGTACTATCGATAGTTTTTTGATAGTCGACTATCGATCGATAGTCAGATTTTTG